CGGCGGGAGCAGCGGGGGCAGCAGACTCGGCGGGAGCAGCGGGGGCAGCAGACTCAGCGGGAGCAGCGGGGGCTGCAGGTGCGCCAGTTCCAGCGGGAACCTCCGGGGCACCAGGCTGAACAGCGGGAGCACTAGGTTGAACAGCGGGAGCACTAGGTTGGACAGCAGGAGCACTGGGTGGGACAACTGGTGCAGCGGTAGCAGATTCCTCGCAAGAGGTGATCGTTACTGTGTGATTGCCATTCGTGTCCCAGGCACTGGCAGTACCGGCAGCGATGGCCAAAGCAGTGACGACGTGGTTCGAGATATGCATGGTGAATAAGTGGATGAGATGAGGAGAATATCAAGTAAAGCAATGCTTTTAATTGAAAAGGGAAAGGCCAAGAATCGCTTTGGGAGAATGTGTAGAAGTATCGATTAAAAGTATGTATGATGCAAGTGATGAATGAATAGAAGACTGATGATGAGGCGATTCGGACAGCTCATCTGGGGATTCTTATAGTAATCCCAGGGCCACTAATCCGGTACTATCGAAGAGAATGAAACCATTCATCCTGTCTTTGGATGGGCTGAAGGCCTGCAACCGGTGTGGCCATGCAGCACGACTTTGTATCGATGGTGCTGCATCCGGAGAAGCACAATATCCTGTCATGTTCGACGTACTGCCTAAACATCGGAGAGACGTATTGGACTAGACAGACAGCAAGAGAGACGGTCCAGGGCGAGCATGAAGCCACATGCGTCACGTGATGGTGTAATTCCGGCTCGATGGATCCTGAAAAGGCATCGGTCGTCAGCCGATTACCGGATGCGGATATCATGATGCCGCCCACAAGGCGTCAAAAAGCAGCCATGTAACTAGGCAGAGCCGACCCAAGGTTAACCCCACCGATACCACAAAGCATTGTGTCTTTAAGTCGAATGCGAATATAGCTCATGGAACCAGGGGGACGAAGCCGGAAGCACCCACGGTCAACGGTGGGTAAATCCTGTTGACAGGGATGACAGGGTGTGTAACCAGCAGAGTCACTTTAGGTCCTGCCAAAAGAGTATTGAGGCCTTTTGTTCTCACAGAAAGTGCACAGAGGGTGCACGAAGGATGGTCGAGACGAGCTAGTGTTGTGCTAATGGGCAGTGTTTCCTATGCCGGATGGATTTGACTCTGACCTTTTGGGTTCTGAGGAGAGAGTTGGTTTCTGCGTTTTATTTACTTTTCTGGGCCAAGATAACAACTACCAGCGTCGGTAGTGTAACGGTTATCATTCTTGCCTTCCAAGCATGAGACCCGGGTTCGACTCCCGGCCGACGCAAATAGTCAACAGTTCTTTCTCTTTTTTTGCAGATATACTAGGTTTTTTGCTCATGTCCCGAGTGTTCTTGTATGACGGACAGGATAGCCTTGATTGGGGATATTACTCAATTGCCGCAGCCTTCTATATAGCCTAGAAACCATTACATTTGCGAAAAACATCCTTGGGTATAACTGAATAAAAGACAACAAAGCCTCTTTCTTGGCCGACTGGAACTTCAAAATTACTGTTCTTCTTACTTCTCCTCGTACACACAGTCAAGTTAACTTATGCAGATACGGTAGATCTGCAAAAAAGAAAGAATTGTTGACTATTTGCGTCGGCCGGGAGTCGAACCCGGGTCTCATGCTTGGAAGGCAAGAATGATAACCGTTACACTACCGACGCTGCTTAGTTAATCATTTTATACTTCATTAACTTGAGAAGGAAAGTTATAAGATACCACCTTAATTCAGTTGTCTTCACGTTATTCGTCCTGGAAACAAGATCGGTTGCTATCTTCATATATAAATTGTTTGGTGTGTATATCCCCGCTGGTGCTCAATGCTTTTCTTGCCCATTAATGGCGATACTGCTACTTAGAATGTGTTGTTAATAAGCATGGACCCGTTTGATATAGTTATATATATTGACGGCAGTTGGTATGGAGAAACATGTCATATTGTTTCTGAAGGGCATTGACGCCTCATGTTTTTATATTTTCATATGATCCTCCCCTAGCAGTATAACCCATAACCACCATAGCATTTGCTATGGAAAGGACTGCCCCGGTCCTGTATGTATCATTCTAGAAGCCAACGTAGCTGACTAAGGCTGTCAAGTCACGCCTCGGATTCATGACCCGCAGCTGGAATGAGCGACCAATCGACCATTCAATCAGTCAGTCAATCATTGCTTCCCTCGTGCACTCACTAGTTTGCCTTATCGTCCAGGTCAATGTATTGATCTAATCTCGGGATTGACTGATCCCGCCATTCGTTACCATCCCCCATGCCTACCCGACGTGATATCCCTAGTCATTCGCTCCTTTCCCCCGGCGACTACGATGAAGATGCCGAGTCCCTACGATCACCGTCAGAGCAGGACTCTGACTCGGAGGATGACGAGTTTCTCCGTAGATCTCGCACAACCCTGGAACTAGCGGAGCATGACCGCATGGTGCTGAATGACGAGGAAGAAACGGAGAAGCTACTGATCAGGGGAGGCCCAACGCACGGTCTGCGGCGAATCTTTAGCCCTAGCAGCCCAAGTGTAAAGATCGGAAAGCGAGAACGCCGACGAAAACGGCGGGAGGAAAGAAGAGATGCGCGCAGAGGACAGCATGAGAAAATGACTGATTCGGGAGAGCTGATGTTCGAGATGGAAGAGGGTCATCGGGAGGACGACGAGAGCTCCCTCCTGAGCCGATCGTCGTCCGATCTAGACCGACAGCTTAAGGAATACGGTGGTGACGAGGTATGGTTGTCTTACCTATACCAAGCGTATGTTCATTATTCAAAGTCTAACTGTCTTGTTCTACCAGCGGCCCCAGCGCGTCTCGTGGCTTAAGCTTGCCTTGGTCTTCGCGGCGATCTTTGTTCTTTTCCTCATCTTCCTTCTCGGAGCATACAAAGCATCAACGTCTTTCCGGACCACCAAAGCCTCTCAAACATTACTGTCGAACGGCACTGCTCTTTTCGCACCCACCACAATTCTGATCTCTCTTGATGGATTTCGAGCGGACTTCCTCAACCGTGGGTTAACACCAACTCTTAACAAGTTCATTGCCGAGGGTGTATCGCCACAGTACATGCTCCCCAGCTTCCCTAGTGTCACATTTCCCAACCATTTTACCCTCGTTACCGGATTATATCCCGAAAGCCATGGAATCGTGGGGAACACATTCTGGGACCCGGAGTTGCAGGAGGAGTTCTACTACACCCACCCGTCAGTTAGTATGCAGCCTAAATGGTGGAATGCCGAACCGTTGTGGATGGCTGCCGAGAATCAGGGGATCAAGACTGCCATTCACATGTGGCCTGGCTCCGAAGCGCACATCGGCGGAGTTGAGCCGACAATGCTAGACAAGTACAATGGCTCGGAAGCGCTCCCTCGCAAAGCCAATCGCATCTTGGAATTCCTAGATATGTCTGGCCTCGAGGACGAGTCGGGAGTAGTTTCGGATCGACCCCAGTTCATCGCTGCCTATGTTCCCAATGTCGATGCTGATGGGCACAAGTATGGGCCCAACAGCACAGAGATCCGGGGTACCATCTCGGAAGTAGACGAAATGCTGGGTAGCCTCTTCGCCGGCTTGCAAGACCGGAACTTGACCGACATCGTGAACATAGTGATTGTCTCTGACCATGGAATGGCCACCACGGCAACCGAACGACTGGTGCAGTTGGACGACCTGATCGACCTCAGCCTGGTGGATCGCATTGATGGATGGCCGTTGCGTGGGCTGCGTCCCAAACGACCAGAAGACCTCGAGACGCTTCAGAAACAGCTGGAGAGCGTAGCCGTGAACTACTCACATGCGCTCGAAATCTACACCCGCGAGACGATGCCCGAGCGCTACCATTTTACGAACAACGATCGCATCGCCCCCCTTTGGGTGATTCCAAAGACAGGCTGGGCGGTGGTCGAACGACCTGACTTTGACGCTCACAGCGCCTTGGAGAAAGGCGAGGTATATCATCCGAGGGGCGTCCACGGGTATGATCATGAACATTCCCTGATGAGGGCGATCTTCATCGCCAGAGGCCCGGCATTCCCGCACCAACCCAATAGCCGGGTGGAAGTATTCCGTAAGTGCTATCCTGTCTTCTGATGGAAACGGACTAACCGACACAGAAAATATCAATGTATATAATATCATTTGTGATACTCTTGGCCTCGACCCACGTCCGAACAATGGAACACTGCGCCTGCCTCTAAAACCCGTGGGTCTCCATTCGGACGAAGATACCCCGGCTCTTGAAAACCCTTCGGACCCTCCAGCTAGCAGCACGGCTACTCCTGTATCGCCTAGCATGACTTCGACTGCACCGGCTTCCACAAGCCCAACAACTACCTCTACAACTGCCCCCGAGGCCCCACCAGAGGAAGAGTCAGACGATGAGGCGGACAACGACAACGACCAGCCCTCTACCTGGTGGGGGACCCTCTGGGATAAAATCGAGGACCTGAAGGATTGGGCCGGTGACCTAATTGAGACCGTGAAGGACAATTTCCCTTAATTCGGGCGTTATCGCAGAGCCAATGGACTCGATGATAGCGGTAGAACATATACTATTCGTTGCTTTAAAGATACCCACTTTTCTCTGTGTTGGATAATATACATCTTGTTGGATAATCTTAATCTATTCGCTTTGCTGCAATACGTTCATCTAAGAAGTGAGGAAAGAATTTTCCAGTGAAGTTGGGCAATGCGATCAATGAGGCTGAAATCCTTCCGCGCCGATCGCGACGTCAATGAATCAATGCCCCATCGGGTCTGCCCTAATCGGGTACCCGACGATGACAGCTGAGTGAACAAGAAAGATGACTCAAGAAAATGCCCAGCCGCAATGCGCCACACCTTGGAGCCAATCGTAGAGTCATGGTGGAATGGAAATCACAAATTTTGATGATTCAGGCACTTGTTGCGTTGCAGTGAATTGATGTCGACCCAGTCCACCCGTCTTTCTGCCTTGCGGACCTGTGCTGCCTACGGGAGGAAGTGGGAACTTATAAGGATGTGAGAACACCCTCGATGGTCGATGGATAAATCACTCAGGGAAACAGGAAGTCAATTGACCCGATTATTCGAGTCGTTCATTCCTTAGGTTTCTTTCCTCTCTCTTGTTGGCGTTTCTTGAGACCCTGAACAGACGGGCCCTGAGTATATACACAGTGCATGTCGGAACACCTTCAAAGTCTCTGATTGAAACCAGCCAAAGCCATCATGGAGTCGACGCAACTTTCAAGCACCATCAATAAGACCAATATGAACTCTACCACTCCCCCCCTTCTCTCTCCCTCCGACACTGCCCTCCTCGAAGCCTTCATCCCAGGCTACTCCTTCATCTCGAGATTCCTCATTTCTTACCTCCATATCGACCTCTCTCTCTACCTACCCTATATACTCACCTACATCGCCATCGCTGCGGTGCTCAAATACTCCTTTTCCAAGCTCAAGGGAGTCATGGAAACCCACCTCATCGCAACGGCCGAAATCCGTCTCGACGACGAGATCTCTAACTATCTCCTCTACTGGATGGCGCAGCAGCCCTTCGCGAACCGGAGCACGCGGTTCGTCGCCGCAACGCGGATCTCCACTCAATCGCACTATTACGACTCCGACGAAGAGGACGACGAATGGGGCGAGGAAGACGAGTACGACGAGGAGGGGAACGTGATCAACAATTTCGACGAGTACTGGGCGAAGACACGCAAACGGGACAAGTTCAAGCGACTGAGGTTCACGCCCGCGGAGGGGACGCACTACTTCTTCTTCCGCGGTCAGCTACTGGCCTTTGTCCGGGCGAAGGGCGACAAGAAGTCTTCTTCGTCCTCTCGGTGGGGCGCGCGCTTCGAGACGGAGAAGTTGTATCTGTCGTGTTTCGGCCGCGACCCTGCCATCCTGAAGGAGTTGCTGGCTGAGGCGCAGCGAGTGTATGTTGCCCGCGACGGAAACAGCACCATTATCTATCGCGGGCAGAAGAGCCCCGGTGATTATGTTGATTGGTCCCGCTGTATGGCGCGCGCTCCGCGTCCTCTGTCAACGGTTATCTTGGACCAGGCGCAGAAGGATGCCTTTGTTGATGATATTAAGGAGTATCTGCATCCCCGCACGAGGAGGTGGTATTCGAACCGGGGGATCCCATATCGACGGGGTTATCTGCTCCATGGACCGCCTGGCACGGGGAAAACGAGCTTGTGCTTTGCGGTGGCTGGGCTGATGGGGCTTCCTTTGTATCTTCTCAATCTGAGCTCGAAGTCCTTCAACGAAGATGACCTCATGTCTTTATTCCAGGAGCTCCCCCGCCGGTGCATCGTCTTGCTTGAGGACGTGGACTGCGCCGGTATCACGCAGAAGCGAGTCGGCGACGGCGGCGATGACTCGACGGCGAAGCCCGCCGATGGCAAGGAAGGCGATGCGCCCGAGGAGGCTGATGCCGATTCCTCGAAACAGGGCGTCTCGCTCTCCGGTCTCCTGAATGTGATCGATGGCGTGGCCGCCAGTGAAGGCCGCATCCTGGTCATGACGACAAACCACCCCGAGAAGCTCGATCCGGCTCTGCTGCGGCCTGGTCGGGTCGACATGTCGATTCAATTCGGGTACGCCGAGCCCAGTGACATCAAGGAGCTTTCTACGGCCATCTATTCCACGCTCGAGGGTGATGTACGGTCGGCAAGGGCGAAGCGACCCAAGGGGAAGAAGGAACAGGTGACGTCCGAGGTCCCATGGCATCAGTTCTCGCGGAAGCAAATCCAGAGCTTGGCAGATGAGTTCCTTGCGCTAGTGCCAGGAGGGCAATGCACTGCTGCTGAGATCCAGGGGTATCTCCTGAACTACAAGAGGGACCCCCAAGCTGCTATCGAAGGGGTCGAGGAATGGGCGCGAAGCATCCGATCGAAACGGGAGGGGAAAACCGAAGCAACCGTGAAGTCAGACTAGTAATAACTGCATGAGATGAGTGGATGATTTTGTACACTGCATATAGAGATACCCAAAGGTCCTGCCCGTTTGACCCATTTGTGCATATAGATAGTGAAAATGAAAAGCTCGAACTTTGTTCTAGACCCCTCAGATGTAACTGTCGTACTACAGAGGATACCAAGGCATGTAACCAAGCTAGGACCAGAGTTGGCGATCATCAGGGAGAACAGCTGGACAAGTTATCTTGAAGCCCAGGTGTAACATCAAGTAGCTACAACAACTGCTGGCATCTTGACAGTCAAGAGAGGTTCTCAAACATGGTTTCTGAGGAGCGCGAAGAATATGTATGTGAGCTAAGTCAAGTGTTAAATACATAACGTGGGTATAATAGGCTGCTCATGTGAAGTGATATGTAGTGAAACCCAGACCCGGTCCCTCCTCCAAATAGATACAGTGTGAAAGGGGTTATTTTACTAAGGTCATAGGAGAGTCACCTGCTGGTCTAATATCGAGATATTGGCAGCATATGTACACCGTGTGTTGTTTCGACAGAAGCCATGGAACAACATCCGGTCTCCGCAGCCACAGACAGTACCGCCCCCAGGAGAAGTAAGACCATAGTCACCAGATTGGAGCAATTTCTCGCCATTCTTGACATAGGGCCCGGTAATTGACTTCGAGGTGGCATAACGAACATCGTACTTGGGGTCCGTGTAGCAATGTGTGGAGTAAAAAAGAAAGTATGTGTCTCCATGTAGAATCAGGTTAGGGGCTTCGACTAGTGGCCCATCGCTGTCGTCACGGTCAAGTATCTGGATAGCATCACCGACCGGAGTGAAGCCATCATCCGCAACTTTCTGTAAAAGAATAGGGGTCGGTTTAAGGGGAGGGATGCCATTGTTGCAGTCCCCACCATTTCCAATACTGTTCCCATCAACTTTGAATACCACATAGCGGCTGCCATCCTTGTCCAGGAAGCCTGCCGGATCAATTGAGCCACCCTGGTCTAGACGGCAAGACAGAGGTGTCTCGTTAGGTACATAGGGCCCAGTAGGATCTGTGCCTTCAGAGACGGCAACACCTACACAATGGTGCCTCACCATCTCCTTGGCCTCGCCCGAGTAGTACATGACGTATTTACCATCGTTCTAGAAGCCTAGTCAGCACAAGAAATTGTTCCAATAGAAATGCAAAAAGGAAGAGAGAAAAATACCCGTTTTATCACATCAGGTGCCCAGTGATCTATCTCAGTCTCCCAGTTGGCAAGTGTAGGTAAAGCCTCCTTGTCAAGAAGAGTCCATGATTTGAAGTCCCCAGAAGAAGCCACCTGGATACGCTTGCCGTTCCCATTCGTGCCAAAGGCATACCAAGTACCATCTGTTGCTTGCACAAAGCTTGGATCGGGGAAGTCAGAATCGATAGCCAAAACGGCACCTACTTCCTGCACCCGGAAAGGAGACGCCAGCACAGTCGATATTAAGCCAAGACCTATGGCCCAAGAGTAAAGTCGAGACCACATAGCACGTTACGTATGGCTTGATGTCCTCGGGGAACAAAGGCACAGATCATCGAAGAAGGTAACGCCAACAGTTCACTAAGGGGCTGGGGGATACGCAGCTGCGAGTGATGACGAGGGAAAGAATCCTGTACAGGAATGCCATCTCACCTGGCTGCCTCAACGCTTTATATTTGATCGCCTTAGGCTATTGTGGCAACCATCGAGTGCCGATTCCATTGTACGCATTTGGTAACATGATCATTCTCCTCTCCGGTGACTTCAATAGTCATTTGATACCGGCCTTAAAATAGCGACTAGGCCTACTGCGCCCAGGTACTGGATGCATCGCCAAGTGCTGGGACTAGGGCACGGGTGGGGGGCAACTATCGTATAATACCATTTGACATAGGCGAATAGTTGGTGGGCCAGGTAAAGCGGTCATTGAGCTAACAGACAACAAAGACATTGGCAGTGGAGTGGCTGAGCCTGGATGCGATAATCGTGTCTACCTGAACGTCTCGCAAAAGCTGCCCGTTGCCCAGTTCGGGACATTGCACGCGGTCCCTGGATGCCACCGCGGGAAATCTTAAATTAGACTATAAAGTCTTGAACGAACCAAACTCACCAGTCGATCAAAAGCACAAACCAATCAGCGACGGCAATAATAGATCGAAAGCAAAGAAAGGCCTTGTGTGGAGTTCGCATGATTCCGGAAGCGGTAATGCATTCACTCAGTGAGTTATCATTCATCGCTAGGCATAACGCGGACGGTAACGCATCCAATGTCTTTCCTATATTTAATCTTTTGCCAACTCAGTAGAGCAAATTCAAATAGCGGGAAAGATATTAGTCTTTTTGTATGGTGAAATTGTCGTTTCTTAACCAATGCCAAGAAGAAGGTGCCCGGGAACAACAGTGTGGATCGGAAGAGATTTATGGAGACATGCCCGACTGCCGCAGACGCAAGGGAGACCTTAATTGGACCCTGACCGCTCATAGTCATAGTCATTGAACCATGATGCCCGGAGTATAAAGGACCAGGGCAACAAGTAGCAAGAGATCCAGGAGTACCATGAAAAATGCCCCTCACTGTAGGTTAGCCGTCAAAGGCATCACCTTCCTCTTTTGCGGCTTCCCACTTGTTGGGTGGCCGAAGTCATACAGGTCAAATTTGAGTTTCCAAATCATTTATTTATTCGAAGCCAACCAGTTTCTTGTACCAAACGCCTTCGGAAGCGGTGGATTCTGGCAAGCGGCAACCCTGTACGGTTGGAATGGGCCCGCTCATGTTGCGGCCCATGAAGCGTCCCATGCAATCTCCTTTAGGGTCACAATCCATAGTCTTGTTAGCTACCATGGTAATGCGTGCATTCACATGGGTCCGTGTGTGTTGTTGTCAAAGAAATAAGCATAAACCAACCATTCTCATCACGGACTCATATTTGGGGGGCCCTAGGTCATTTGTTGGTGCTACTTGTACAATAAGTGAGTGCACCCCGATGAAACCAATCGCAATTGACTACTAAGTAAATAGACGCGGACGGACGAAAGACAAGTGTTGAAGTCATGGGGCTGATAGGATCAATACCAGTCTCCTGCGAAAAGGAGCGTGCCCTTCTCCAGATCTTCGCCTGCACCCCTTGCGTGGGACCACAGACTTTCTCTTGTTGTAGCATCCAATCGCACAATTTGCTACAAACGCTATTTGAACTCAAATCCTGCCATGGCAGACTCTCGGACCGAGGCCACCCAAATTTTGAGCAAACGTCCCCAGATTGCTGCGTGATAGCATTTGGTCCATAGATCCAATCTTTTGCAGATCAGTCATGAGGACTTTTATTCTCTCGTGTCCTAGTCAGGTGAGCGATGAATCTCGTTTACAATGAGAGATTTTTGGGATATGTTCCATAGAAGTCCAACCCCGCAATTTGAGGAAATGTAAACCCTGTGGGGTCACATACGATTAAATCACTTATCACGATGATCTCTGGTTCAAATCTGCCAGGTTAGTGGGGGTAACTAAACTCATGAGTCGAGTCACGCACCAGCAAAGGCTCCTTCCTTTTTATCTTTTTCTTTCCCCTTTGACGTACGATGACATAGAGATCGACGTATTGTGGCAAGATATTTCAAAGCTGTGCCCAGAAAGCTTGGGGAGTGTCAACTCGTGCAATCGAACGCGTCGTCTCGAGACGCTGGCTTCGGAGTATCGATAAAGCTTTGACCCCAGTGACCACATTAAAGGAGCAAGTATCGATGAGCATTTTCGATGGGTCGTTGCAGAGTACAGCGTACCTCCAAAAGGAGAATCGGGGTGTTTGGGTTGTTTGTCCAACTCACGGGACCAGTACCTCAGTCCATAATACTACTAAGAAGTAATGGTTCTACTTGGTCGATGGTATCATACGTTCCCAAGTTATTCACATCAAATACCACATGTTGTAGGAAGGAATCCCCTTTCATTGAAACCAGATGGGATGAAGAACTACAGGTGCAACTTGCCACAACGCCATCAAGCAATAAAGCGCATATATACATTGGCATTGTATAGCGTGATATGACCAACAGAAAACCGTCCAAATGACCTAGGAAGTAAGAACCCATGTTTCGAATGGGGTGCCACGAGGCTCCTTTTTCCCATCCTCCCGCATAGTGTACAAAACGGGTTCAAAGTTGGAAGACGAAGCATATTGCCGAATCAAATGTCTCCAATAACAAGACTCCGCAGCTGGAGTGAGATACCGGTCACGGAAAGTTTTAACTGCATTGTTTGCTATGCGTTCCGCAGCCTCCGGGTTGTCTATGAGAAACTCAATTTTGTGATCAAGATCAGAGAAGTCACGTTCAACTTCAACATAATTCGCTTCAGGACCAGAGGAGATGAGAGCGGCATGGTGCGCCTCTTGCCAGATCAGCTTGTGCGAGATGACCACCGACCGACAATTGAGGAGATACTTTCCACGTCCCGAGAAGCTGCGCCCTTCTGTGTGCGCCAGGAACATATACCGACAGTGCTCTTCTATAGGTAACAGATTGAATCGGATGTCATTTTCGTCATCCCAGTCAATAACCCGTATACTGGCCCAGCTCCTGCCCTGGGCCGCCTTCAACAGTTTGCCGCGCACCTCGGGGTTCGTGGCAATGTTGCCACGCCAAACAAGTTGCTTCTTCTTGTCTTGAAAATGCATGCCAGGGATAACTTGGCCATCGACCGTTACTTCCCCATCATCAATTGCGGCAATCCGGCGTCGCGCATCCTTATACGAACCGACCCTGACTTCCGGCCATGACCAGTACCCAAAATCTGGCATCAGCCAGACACTGGTATCTTCATCGCGTTTGGAGTATGACCAAATTGGCCCTTCTCCGCTGCTGTAGTCTTCCGTGGTCAAAACAAACTCAACATTCGGAAGACGATCTCGATCCGGGAATGAGGTCAATGCGCGCTGTAATGAATTTAACGTCGCCTGCCCCCGCGTGAAGGTGGCAGGCATGTTGCCAAAATCAACAATATAGAGCTGCCGTAGAATGCCGAAGTCAATACATGGGTTTTCCCTTGTCCGAATTCCTGAGAAGAACCAACCTCTCCATGATCAATAATACCCCTCACCATCCCATCCTCCACCGTCATGCTATCCACATCCTTAAATTGAATGGGATTGCTTTCTCTGAATGAGGCAGACTTATCGAGCTCAACAAACAGTTTCGGAAACGCAGCGCGGCACTGTTCTTCGGAAAGCCCATGATCATTCCCATCTTTTTCGACCTGAAACTCCCAGGAAGAATCATTTCTGCATGTAGGAGGAAAACTCAATGGAGACTGCTTGACAGGGGCCTTTAGCGCATATTTGGCGACTTCGGCTGAGTATCTGGTGCTGAAGATGAGGAATGTGACGGCGATCAACGAGCACACGGCACCTGTACCCAAAAAGCGGAGTCGGGTTGATTGGCCTTGCGACCAGCGCATTTGTGGTGTATATATTTTTCTGTCACTATATATTTTTATTCCTTCCTGGGCGTCGCCCTTGTATATGACCGCCTCGATCTCTGGTGATTCAATAGGTAGTAGGCTTATCGATCTGGCGGTGTTAACGATATGCAATTAGTTCTAAGGTATGCTAGTCATGCAATGCCAAAAAAATAATCGTCATGTCTCATTCATAACCTCATTAAGTCATGGCCCACGGTGGAAGTATGTGTATCAGAACACATCGGTATGTCTACTCCTCCCTCGCTTGTTGAGGAGTCAGCACCGATATGACGAGAGGGAAGGTATGTTCCCATGGCAACAGATGGGTAGGCCAATGATGACAGGCCTTCTATAGATTCTGAGTCTGGGCTCTTATGGATGCTTACTTAATACTAGCAAACACCAACTTAGCCAAGACATTGCCATTACTCTGGAATCCCAGTGGAGATTTACTTCTACTCAGGAAGCTGTTTACTATATAAACAAAGGCTGCTGCCGCCTGCGGACACCTTAGGCCTCGTGTCTATGCTCGAAAATACTCTCAAATATGTACAGGGAGATTGCAAGTTTCAGATGTATCAGGGGTATCTCAAAATCAATCAAGAAAATGTATCACGAAGACAAGGGGTAAGCTTAACAAACGATAGACTCCAGGCCCGACTCTTAGCCTTTCACGGGATACAAGAAACCGAGCGTACAAGAGACAATATACATTCGCGAATGGGCGGGATGCGAATCAGACAATCAGAGCGCAATTTCCCGGTTTCAGTGAGAAAGGCAAATGGGCACGTCCAGCGCATACCGCAGAGATCGCCCAACGTGTCAAGACATCATATGAATACAAAGGCGACGTTTATCATCTAGAGCGGTTGCCAATCGCCTTGGGCGCATTGTTGCTGAAGTAACTTTCATCAATCTTCAGAATCCATTCGACCTTTTGGGCCTCGGTCCGGGCAGCGAAGAGGAAGGTGTTTTGGGACCCATATACAGCGAATACATTGGGACGGCCCTTAGGTGATGCGCCTTGGTCAGCCCCCCCACCTGGACCATCAAGCAACCGCGCAAAATCAGGTGCATGGTCAACACGCGAATTGCGCAGGTTAATGGCATTTATCTCATCGCCTTCAGCAGAATAGATATGAAGATACGGGCGACGAAGTTCAACAAACCGCCGCACCCAATGACTGTTGGTGTCGTCGGGCGTCAACAGATATCCAGTCTTCAAGGAAGATGTGTTCTTAGGAAGGGTCTGAATGGTCGCAACGAATCGTGGCTTGAGCGGCACTTCTTCGGAGACAGAACTCGAATCGTCGCCCGAAGGTGGTTGCTTGGCGCGAGAAGCGAAAGCTGCGCCTCCTGCAGGGGGCTCTGTATTGCTTCGGACAAGGATGGTCTCAATGGGATCGGTTTTTGTGGCCCAAAGTTCAACGTACTTTTGGAGAAGTTTGGTTTTGCGATCGGTAAGCTCCAGTTTCCGAAGAGGAGTCGACCGCCCGCTCCGCGGAGTTGACGGTGCGAGACAGTGGGCACTGAGGGCCCCTTTGGCGGCGTTCAGCTCGGCAATCCGTCGCCTTCGTTTGCGAGCCGCCACGTAATCCCGCACAAGCGAGACCTTCCGTGGTGACCAAGTTGTCAAGAGTTCCTCTCCCTTCACATAATCATTTTGCGTGTTCATGCGCCACAGATCAGCCGCTCGCTTTGCGGAGACAGGTCGAACAGCCAATGAAAACATACGGACCGTTGAATGTACAATCCGAGCCGAGTTGAAAAACTGTTTGAACATGGACTGGGGACGCACATATGTGCGGCCCTGGATCTGAAGGGTCAGATCCATCTCGAACGGAACACTGTCCTGTAGCCTTGACGAGATGAGCTCCCACCTAACAGTCACCTGTACACGATACTTATCCGCAGTGACCCGGTCTAAGAGCAGAGAGCCATGCAAGCTGGAGTCCCATTGGCCGATGATAGCAACATTGGATGTTCCATCCGCATTGTCTTTTCGCATTGGCTCTTGCACGAATTTCAACGGAACGTCAGGAGTCTGAAGATCCTGATCAGGGATTTTGCCCCACGGATCAAGCAGCCGGACAGACCCTACACGAATATTGATGAGGTCATCCCATGGTAGGCTCTCGGTTGAACTGTACGTAAGATTGATCATGAGCCGACGTTGAAGACCTTGATGGAGCTGGTATGTGCCTGCATCAAGATTATTACTCTGTACTACTTCCACAGGGAGGTAATCGCCCGTTTCAGCCAATTCAAGTAGCTGCGTCCTCGCGAATACGTCATGTCTCTCCTCCGAGTAAAACTCTGACTCCGGGATCCGAGGGGTCTTGCGTTTCTGTGGGGGCGGCTCTGCAGAGTCTCGCATATCATCCCAACTGAGAAGTTTGTCAAGGTGCATCTGAGTTACACGCGCGTAGACGCAAACTTTCAAAGCCGCCGAACGCGGGCTAGAAAGCGGTAAACTCATGCTGTGCACGCTTTCGAACCTAACTGGGGATTCATCAAAACCATTTATCATCTGGGTCGTTGTTGCGCCTCCTTCCTCAGAGATGCCCGGCACGAAAAGTTGCGCATGAACGTCAGTTCCTTCCCATTCAGCGAACCCTACCATATCACGCATGACAACGTTGAATTTGAGAGTTGACGATGGTGCTTGAGCCGAAGACGGTTCAAGGGACAATCTTATGATGCCGATGACATTCTGGGTGTAAGGTGAGGTAACTTCAACCGAAAAGTCTTGGACACGTGTCTCAAAGACTGCCGTGAGCGGAATATCGGCGTCGCCCACCAGAGAATACTGCGGAGAACAAGGTTCAGAGAAAGGATTTTCAAGCTTGAAATGTTGAATGTAGTCTGGGCGGTCAATATACTGGTGCAACTGACGCATAGCTTGAAGGCGGCGTTGAAGTTTCTCGATAGACCAGAGATGGATAACGCATTGTTTAAAGTCGATCACGCGGACCGCAATGCAAGGCTTTTTAGCCTCGTCCAGCACAATATCCTCATCCCCAGAGATCCCGTTCAGCACGAGATCATAGGATGATGCCATGTTATGCCCATGATCAATGATCGCAAATTGGAAGACAATATTCTTATCCATGATATGGCTCATTACTTGGGCTTCTTTCAATAATGAAGCATGTTGCAACACCTTCTCCGCCATACGAACGTAATTCTGCTGCGACCAATGGAGGAAAACATTTCTTGCGATCTCGAGTTCCCGTGGATCCAGCTTTGCAAAACCGTTTTCATATATTTTCGGAAGCGGTTGGCCCATGTCTTTTATGTGAGACTCGAAAACTTCCTTTTGTTTCCTCAGTTGCTCTTCAAATTCCTCTTTGGCTGCGCGGAGAGCTTCTTCCATCCGAGCCTTTTCGGAACGAATATCTTCAGCGCCTTGGCTAGAGGACACTTCTGCAGTTCTTAATTTTTCTTGGTATTCTTCCTTTTGCTGGTCTAGCTGACGTTGCATGTCCTGACGTACGGACTGTAATGCCGCATCGTCTGCGTTTTGTCCCTCATCCTCGTCCTGCGGACGAGGAGTTCCAGGCATCGTTATGGCAGTGTCAAGAGAAAAGTTGTCGATGGTGCCATTCGACATGTATTTATCCCGAACTGGATATGAACTAAGAGAGTCGGAATCCTCTTCGTGCTCCACTAGCGCACGGCGTGTTGCCCTTACTTTTTGCACGTCCTCAAAAAGGGCGTCCAACTCATCATCCGGCATATGAGATATGTGATCCGGACCTAACACAGCACTGACAGCTTCTCGACGAGCATGGAGCCATTCCGATTCACGCCCGCGTTGTGAAGGCATTGGGGAGTCGGCTCTGCTAGAATCACCGTCGACTTCTGAGCCTCCCTTGCTCAACGATCGATCATGGGTTTTACTCGGGGCAGGTGAGCCAAGCTGACTTGTGGTCACAGAGTGACGGAGCAAGCTCTGCTCCACCCTCTCGGCACGCGCTTCTTGAGGGTGGTTGAAACGAAATATATGGAAGTCACCTAGGATCACTCGGAAACCGCTTTTCAATCGTTTGGGTTTGTCAATGCGAAGACCATTCACCATAACAGCTGCACCTTCCCCCGGTACAATAGTAACGATGTTATCCACATTTTCAAATTTACAATGATTAGCAAGTATCTTAGAGCCGTTCAACCGGATCTCCACATGACTTCCTTGGTCCATGTTACCAACCATGGTAGTTCCCGGCTTGATATTATAGACGAGGCACTCAGCAAGTAGTGGATCGTCACTAAGATTGACCAAGTGAGGCATCTTCTTCGGTGTACTTAAACCAATAAAGCCCTTCTCGATACTGATACCCAGCTCTTCCAAAGCAGCCTCACGTTCTTTGTGGATCTGTTCAGTTTTTACCAACTTCTCTTCCCAAGTTTGATTCAGGTCCTTGTAGAGCTTTTCGCTTTGGTTAAGCTGCTCAACGATTTCTGCTTTGCTGACTTTGGTGACAGTTCCATCCGGTTTCTGGATAGAGACAACTTGCTTCTCCAAGGGGGTGTCTGGAGGATAATACTCCTCGGGAGGTACTCCGCCGGCTGCTGCCGCTGCGCCGCCCACTGCTCCCGGGGCTACACCACCTCCAAGCTTGGCCCTAAGCTGTGCCAGCTCTTCCTTCAACTCTCTGATCATCCGCGCATTTGGATCTTCATTTACAACAGCATGGTTCTTGATTCGCTTGGCGGAGTCGGCATATCGTAGAGTGCTGAGTGTCTCTTCAAAATTGATATCTGCAGGTGAAATTGCGGCAATCATAGCCGTCATGGAGTTGCCTCCTAAAGAGTCCTTCAACAGCCATGTGAGGACAGAATCACGGTAAGGAACCATAGAGGCATTTTTCTTTTTGCCAGAAGTCACATCTGCAAGTGCAGCAATCACACGTCCAAGTGTTGAAAGTGAACGATTGATCTCCGCACCTTCCTTCAAACGAGCACCAGTTGCCCCGGTAGAAGTTGCTCTTTCTGATCCTGCGAGATCGACCAAACTAATCCTCGACACTTTCTCCGTATCCATCGAGGTCTCCGCGTCATGACGTTTTTGTGTGAGGGTAAGCGTGAAGACAGCATGGGACCGACTAGACGTTTCATTCATATTTGTGGCGGCGACAGTTCTGGCCTTGTTACCTTCGTCCATCAAGTTCTCGATCTCTTCAAAAGAGCGCACCGCCAGCTTGGCAAGGTCTTCGACATAGGGACCAGTCGACGGGTGCTCGCGCACTTTTAGATTCCCTTTGTTTGATGGGTTAAGAAGGTCGCGAACTCTTTCGTTGTAGATCTCTAAATAGGAAACTTCCACTGTGCAGCCGAGGTTCTTATCTTGCTGAATCTCAGTGATGCGCTCGAACATGGACTGGCAAATCCGAGGGATTACTCCATATTCTTTGCCATATCCCATCATGGAATAGGACTTTCCAGAACCAGTCTGACCGTACGCGAAAATGCAATTATTGTAACCCTGAAAAGCATTATCTAGAAGTGGTACGCCTAAGTCATCGAAGAGATTGTCCTGACCCGCATAATTTGGGGCATTTTTATCGAAAGACCAGTATGATCGGTCGAAGGCGAACGTCTTTGGCCCTTCTACAGCACCCTTCCCACCACCAGCTTTTCGTAGTTTATCGACGGCACCCGGTGGCGGGATGAGTACGGTCTGGTTTTCTTTCATCTGAACGATACATTGTGCCCCTCTATCGTTTTCTAATTTCAATGAGATGTCTCAGCGAGTTGACCTTCAAGCATGCGAAGCACGGGCTCCGCATGTATCGCAATGTTGACTCACCTCTGCTATTAAACGGCCGTACTCTCACCACCACCTTGATATTTCCACCACCTCCTGGAGCCATTTTGACCAATCCCCCATGCACTCGGGGACAGTGATATACCGTCTGCTAAAGTGTTGTTTCTTGGAGGAGAGATAAGAGAAAGGTAGCGCAAGCGAAAGCAATCAAGAGAACACGAGTCGCGAACGCCTCGGGGAGCGCCGCCCGATAGAAGGTCGCAGCCCGGATAGTCCCGTGTTCGCTACACTACTCTGGATATGTTGTGTGCCTTTCTCGGTTTCACTTCGTGGACATAGGAAGTTGGTGCTGGGTGTCAACAAAGACGTCATGTACAGTACATATGTCTCTGGGAAGCTCCGGCGCGTCTCAGGAGCAAAATATTGCGATAACACCGAGCCCCGTCCGTAACCAAGCGCGCGACCGATGTCGATAGATTATCTTTGGGAGGGAGTTCAACGAGGAGAAATTGTAGGACAAGGATAGGTCGATTGAAGGTCTAGCCGACTCGCTCCCCCTTCGCAGGCAAGGAAAAGCCGCAGGAAGACCGAAAGGGCGGGCGGATTAGATAAGCGCCCCATGAGATCCGCTTCCAATCATCCATCATTCCTAAGAACTAAAAGTGATATTTGAAATGTACATATTGTGGAATCCGAATAGATATCCTAAGCAAATCGGTGATTCCTGTATATGACGTGCACTAGTACGCAGGCACACCATGGCTTTAATTCTCGTTAGTTCCCGATCCATCCTTCAGCGTATATATTTATCCATGAAACACCCATTGTTTCTCCACATTGTTACCTACTTCAACATCTTCCAGTCCTTTCTCTTCAATCAAAAAACTCTGTGGATGAAGACAGATATATATAAATATATATATCGCTTTGTGTCTTTGTTGTATTTTTTTTGTTGTTGTATGCAGTTCTCCAAGGCAACTACGGCCACATGAATGCTCTCTTACTTACCTATATTAGAGAGTAAACTTAGTCGCTTTCATTATATATATTTCCCGACCTACGAGTGAGTGATAATGTATATAAGCTGTTCTATAACTATAATAAAACAATTAAGCCTTATACAAAGGCAAATATATCACGCCGCTAGACCAAGACAAATTGAAATGAATAGGGAGCAACGACCGGACGTAACGCTCAACAGAGTGATTATGGCAATATACAGCTAACTTCTCTACCGGTTATATAACACTAGACAGATCTATGAATCTCAACAGTAATGAACCCGGGCTACTACATGCAAATTTCCCAATTTGAGGTTCAGTAAAACCAAGGAAGTGGTTCAATGCTCTGCGACCCGCACATTCTAATGCCGCGAATCAAGACTCAAATATGTAGTAGGAAGAGGGCGTGTAGAGGAGATGAAAAGGGTTAAGACACACAGAAGATTCGGGATAGGATGGTAGGGAAATATGAAGTTCTCACAGTAGGTAGTGACAATCAAGGTTTGAGGCATCTAAGGCACCGAAAGATATAGAACACCCCGCACCTGATCTACGTATTTGCTTCCCTCCACTCCGAATAACGCATCATCTATTATACTTTGCTACTAAAGAATAAAAATGTGATTGAATATAGATTGTCTATTAAGTATTTAATATTGTAGTAGTTTATATTAGTGTTGATCTCCTGTGACTTGCCCATATACACCACCTGATTACCATGTGAGATGTTGTTTGGGCATAGCCCCAAGTACAGTTCTCGGGCTGATATATCCAAGTTGTAGAAAGTTACTATGGGTTATGATTGTTATATGCTGGAGATTCACTGTATACTAGACCACAAATAGAGCCGCTTCCTCATGTGTTGTAGAGGACAAAGATCACAAGGTACGAGATAAATCCGAAATTATATGTTTAGTTCTCACACATATCTCGAGCTTGTTTACCTGTAGCATTTCATTTATCTACCAGAATATCTCACCAGAAAGGTGGTGTTTGCACACAAGTAACCAATTTAGTTTTAAATATACTGCATGTACAGCTGGCCCTTCTGCTGTGGACCATCATCTTATGGACCTATAAGAACTAGACATGTATCAAGCGGTGAACAATGATTCATGGTAGCCTGATAAAGTCCATAGGATACTAGTAGTCTTCGCACAGTATATAGCATTGGTGCCTGGATGCCCAATCTGCAGTGCTCCATGTAGTAGAGGCCTTGCGGGGAAAGATTAGAAAAATAAAATTAAATAAATAACAACAAAATGAAATAAGACCTGCTGAATTGAATAGGTACATGCTTTTCATCCCAGGAAGATAGTCACCTTGATGGTGCATACATTGGCCCATCAATTCTTTACTCTGCCGCTACCTCACCTTCGTTCTGTCATACACTGAATGTACAACGAAAGAGCTGTACCCCCCTACGTACGTATTCCGCATGGAACTATGCAAAAAGGAAGTGAAAATAGTCAGGGAAGGGGAAGTTAGTTGCTAATCTTAGATCAAATCCAAGTTCTGTCTCTTTAACCTCGCTAGAACGGCAGCTTTGTCCTTGGATGTAGACTCTAGGCATTCGCCGAAGGTATTTTTTCCAACCGAGAAGATATTAAATGACCCCTGAGCCCTCAAAGTGCTGTGTATGGCCTCTTGCTGGAAACTTGTGACCTAGAGTCGGACTGAATTAGCCGCAGATCCTTGAAATGTGATAGTGACAAGTGCAAGCTTAATGGATTGCCGAAAAGATTGCATGGAGCGGCAACAAGTGTTTAATCTCAGCTTCGATAGCCAATAGATCGGTTCTAGCGCCAGCATCACAATGAGTACCATCGTGTAAAGGTGTGAATAGGCTTAGATGACTTCTTATTGGGTACTCACCCGGGACAAGATCTGCCTGCTCATTTCACAACCCCCTTGCGATAGTCAGGAGGTGCTGCGTTGTTTCCCAGCCCAAATTGCGTAATAGCATCAGAGTAGCATCTTCCTGTGACTGGTAGTATCCGCTGTACAAGACTTTTGGATCTTGCATCCATCCAATGGAATACAAGTGAGCGCATGTCAGGCTTGCGCATAGTTAATATCACCTGTCACAATGGTCTGTAAAAAAAAGCTAACCACGTCAAACAATACAGTATTCCTCCGTACCTGATAGCTACAGGGCAGAATGTAACATCATGGCATGACTGTCATCTTGAGGTCACGCATTTGGCAATGACTTACAACCGTTTAGGCTGCGAGGCTTATGCATCCGCCTCTTACCCCATCCACGTCTTTTCTGCAACTGGTTGAACCTAGTATTAGGATGCTAGCACCGGGGTTTCCCTGTAATACCTGAGAGACTGTAGCATCGAACATATTCGAGGTGTAAGCTCGAGTTAAGCTCCCGCTTGCCATTACCAGGACATACCCAAGAGTTTAAATCGCTCGTTTAGATAGGAATGATTACCCGTAATTCTCTATTGAACAAGGGTATAATCCTGGGTTTTTGTTGCAGAAGAAACTCCCCTAGTTTAGAAAATAGGCCCTTTCTGCTTTCTTGAAATGCGTTCAATATGACCTCCATGCGGGCCATGAAATTTCCTAACTGGCAGGCCACGTGAACTGCACCGAATAGACAAACATCCGGAAGGTGATCAGCACTCGTCACTGTGGCCAAAATGACTTAGAATTCGGAATATATCATACGGATATGACCTGTTAGAAGCTTGTATGCTTCTCTATATCTGCCGGAATTGTTGAACAGGATCCTGTGCTATACCCTTGCGGGGCACAATTGTTGATTGGCTGTACTGTACAACCTCTGAGAACATGTTTATCCAAAGACAAAATAGATATATATATATATATATAATGACTATAGCGTTGAAATTCTGAGTTGTGCTGCTCATTGACATCGATACAGATCGACAGATTTGGTGAAACCTTTCAAAGTCACGAGTGGCGGATGGCTCTTTGTCAAATATCAGAACTAGAAAGATGACACAATGACTAGGATGTGGATCCCGAGAGCAATGTATTTCTAGACTGAGGAGCTGATCTCCAGTACTGAATCGAAGGAGACGAGATGAAATGAACGAGCGGTAAATGAGCCCAAACAAATGTCAATACTACCAGAGATCGGCATGAGAATGGGATGCATGGTTGGCCTAAAGCTATGAACTGTAGGATATATTTAGGACTGATGTCAACGTGGAGAAACGACTTACCGTGCTCTGAAGCTTAGGTCAGGCTCAATTGGCCCCTCGACTGCGGGTACGTCTTACTGCTTCCATAAATCAGGAAGGAACTTTATTCTAGGCTGAATCATTACCAATCTGATTACTCCGTACAGTTATACTTGAAGTTCTATAATTACAGTGATATTACGGGGTACAGACTTTTGTGCCCCGCAACTTTGGGTTGTTGAAAAGCGGTGTGCTCGGAAGTTCGAGTACATTTGACGTCAGATGGCCAGAGCTTTATCATGAACATACAGTGCGTATGAAATACATGCCACATACTGTATTGAGTGCTTCGTATTTATACAGGCTACCAGAACCACGCACAAACCCCTAGTTCATCTGGGTAGTATGGGCACATTGTAAATAATTTTTAGTGAGATACTGCAATGTATGAGGCCCACATTAATCATATAGATTTAATGATAAAAGGTATACTTGGAGGAGAAGGGTGCCCAGGACTTCCTCCGTATTTCGATATAGAAATTACAGATACTATTCTCCACCATACAAATTGCCCCGGAACCTGACACGGAATCCGTGCATCGAGTGGCTAAATTTCCACACGTGGTGTGGGACAGATCCGAACTCAAGCTGCTTTCCTACGGAGTATACAATATTCCTGGTACGGAAACAAAGCTCCAGATACAATCCGTACAGTAGGTAAAGCTTTAGCGTGGCCTGGTTATAGCAATTATTTTCAAGCGACTTTGATCCGTCTAATGTATCAATATGACACTCACAATCCTATGAACTGATCAATAAACACCCGCGAAAAATAAGGAGAAAGTAAAACGAGGTTGGTTCTATTCGACAAGCTATAATGACCATTTCGAAATCACTATAACATCAGCGTAGGTGAACATAAGTCTTTTCCATACATATATCATTATTATCATTAGTATTATAGTATGTGCTCTTGGGGCGGTTCCTATACCATCTGTTCGGATGCGTTTTTGCCTCGTATCCTCAGATTAACATCTACAGGGGTCAATGCAGGAGTCACCTATTGTTCATGATCTCTCTCTTACTGGGGTTAGGTAAAAATCAATGGATTTTCAGAACCGCATATTCTTCATAGAGGTTCCGGATGATTCTGATTTTGTCTCGTACCCATCACTGTACAGTTGTTTAATGCGGTCTAACATTATGTTACTGCTCAGTGACAAGTGATAGTAGCATCGCTGATACGCGGGCTACGTACATCCAAGTTCGATTTGCCCGAGTGTCTTTCCTAATCCAGAAATGTAGCCGAAGCTCCATGTTCTCACGAGATCCGCCGAGATCCTGTAATAAAAAATGTAGGAGACCACTCTGACCAGAGTAAGTCTATACAGTATCGAGCACGACTCAAGAATAACGCTTGTGGGTGGGAATAAGACATTTTTTATAAGAGATGTTATTGCATGTGTAGAATTCCTTGCTATGAACTACTAGTAACTCCCACTATCGGTATGGATTAGGATAAAAATTTCCTTTTCTGACATGTTATCTGTGAAGCCACCTAGGACAAAGTGCTAGTAGAACTAGTAATCCTCCTGTCAGCGTGCTATTGCATAATTCGTAAAAACGGACCGACGTTCCTTGGAAACCAATGAGGGGTGGCTGGTAGGTTTGTCACTGACAGGGTTAAATCCCGAGGGCGATTCGCCGGCTCTGGGTTGCACATGATGTGCGTCACAAAAATTCGGGATGGCCGGATTTACACCGGCATACAAGAAAGTGATAACAGAAAGAGGGTAAAAGGAAAAAAAAAAATTGATTCTTTTATTGCTACATGCATCTAGGGGGACAATTGATATTTAGGAGAAAAAAAATTGTGGTGGTATCTAGTGAATGCTTTCTGAAATATTTGTTCATGGTGAATATCAATCTTTACATAGTACTACCTACTCTGTACTAAATACTGATAACTCATCCATAATCAAAAAAACATGGTTCCCATATTTCTATCTTACATAAACCAAATCAAAGAAAAGTGGGGCCATGCACGGTGACAATACGGAACCGTACGGGGCCACCTATGAATCGGTCGGTTGGTCTGATTGCCTCGCCGCCTCGACCGCTAAACGAGCCGCCGAGCCAGTCAGCTCGTCAGTGAACGCGTCCGGTACAAATGCCCCATCGCCCGCCCCTTCTCGTCGCTGCGGCTTTCTCTCTCTGCTTCCTCTCGTTGGTCATCCAGCCATCTCCAGTCCCTGCGTGCCCTCCAGTCATCAACTTAACTGGCCGCACAGAACCCATTGGCCATCTGCCATTTTCTTTTTTTTCCTACTCGTTCACGCTGGGGTTGGCTTCTGATCACTGATCCTTTCGTCCAACCCAATCGTTGTTTTCTTGCCCACCCCCCATCTGTTTTCTCCTCGTGATTGATCACTCCCGATCATTCTCATTTCGAAATTTCCACGGTTGTGGTCGAATCATCGTCCGTAGGTACGTGGAATATTGCTTGCCCCTTGCTCAGCATTGTGTAGTTTTGTTTTGACGTGACTCCATTTTGTTTTATCTTATCATTTTCATGCTTGATCCTGCTTTATGATTTGAGCACCTTATTCTGGTCTGCACCCAATCCCATTACACTCTCCCTCTTCCCGAGGTCTACTCGACAAATCCCATCACTTTTTGCGCCTGTTGTATTCTCTAACTACCGCGCGCCCATTCTACCCCCTCGTTGTTGGCTTTCATTCTCATTTACACCACTGTCTTTTTACCCCACGAATCATATTGCTTCGCATGCGCCTGCGATTTTTTCCCCATACTGTTTTGTCTTCCACCTACAACAGCGCGCGCTTGCCCAGAGCTGAAAACCTGGTTCAACTGTTGGGCCGTTCACGGATCAATCCGGACCGGACTGACATCAGCGGCAGCCCACACTCGCGGCGTAGAAACAGCTTTGTGCTGCCCGCCGTCCTGTTGGTAGAGGTCGCGCTCTCATCACCCCGCGAATCATCATCCCTCCCAGAACCTCCCGTGACTGGAGGCTGTGGTCAAGTCCCATCGCATCACTTTTTCCTACATCACTTGGTGTAGGGATACCCTTCTGCCGCTCAGGTAACTAATAGCCCTTTCAACGTGACCCGTGTTGTTTTGCCTTTCACCCTAATAATGGCCTGCAAATCGGGACCGTTTTCACCTCACTATCTACCTTGTTACCCATCTGCAAAGCAAAACAATGACCCGACAGCTATGTCGCATGTATCCAAAGTATATTCCATTTTACGATCCCCCCCGAGGGTTCAATGCTGGCTTGTGCATTTTCGATTTTCCATGTTTATCCTCGTCGCGTTCTGCTTCTATTATGATCCCATCTTCCCCACTCCATGATGGTCCAATCAGCACGCGTCGGCACTCTATTTACTTTGTTTTGCGCACAGTATTCTGACGACCTCAGTCCTCTCCATAGGCGCGCAGTCCCTTTTACATCGCAAGCTGGAAAACAGTTTTCGAATCGTTTAGGACTGTTTGTTTACGCGCGCGCGAAATCACCCGCTTCCCTTGCACCTAGCGGTGATTGCGTCGTATCTTGTCAAGGTATGTTGCCGGCTGCATCATACTTCCCGCTTGCCAACGCATACATCCTTCAGCCCTGAATAGACTAAACAGCCACGATATCACCTCCCCCTCCCCCACCACCTGCCCAGACTCCCTGCCATGACAGCGCACAAATCAGCAGCTGAAAGTTCTAGTTGGTGGAGAAAATGGATGCTGATAGTTTTCTGTACTTTGATCTAGTCGTGCAGACCATCTTTTAGGCTTGTTTTGGTATCGGTTCCTTCTCGAGTCGCATTATAGCCGTGGGAACCGGGAGCCAGGATAGCCTCATCCACCTGGCGCAAAAATTCGCTAGGCCACGCTGGTAGCACCGCCTCATATCGCTATCTTCTGTTTCAGCCCCGCCTAATACGGACGTGGCCGTGAAGTCTGATCGAACAAGGATCAGGACCATATTACGGAAGTTAGCCTGCCAGTTGTCGTCTCAAACTCTGCGTAGCTTATTATATTTCTTTCCCCCTGCTTCTACCCCTCCCTTGTTTGCCTCGTGCTGGCGATAGACGATCGTGCGTCATTAGCAAGAGCATCGCATTTCGTCTGACAACGCATCAAGTGCGACATACTGCCGAGGGCACCCTGGTCCGCTGCATTAGAGCCCAACCACGTTACACCCTGAGGTGAACGTAAAAAAGATTCGCACAAAAGACTCTTCGTCTCCAGAAATTGTTCGAAGTTATTTCGGCAAACAGGCGTTGATTTTGGGTGAAATATTTTTTTTTCTCGCCGATAGTTGAACTCTGTATCGGCAAAACAGAAACCCAGGTAAGCGCCCGGTGCAAGCGCCTTGTCCCCATCCAACCCCACTGGAAGATCCAGTGATCGGTCAGCGCTGCGCTCCGTGCTGACATTTAGTGAGCGCCTGCAGACTTTCGCATTTAACTCGTCGAATCATCATTTGCAAAGAGCAGCTACTCTCCGCGGCTGTCCCTTTTGTGCGCGACCGTGATATCCCTCGAGTACAACAGCGCTTCGACATCCTATCATCCTTTTGATCTCTTCTACCTTATTCTAAATAGGTGGCGTATATCCACCAATTGCTCACAGCCGTCGTTGCCATTGGTTCCATATACTTGGTGCCTGACAGCTGCATCAGTCCAATCACGGGACTCTTTGGAAGCGTGACGGGAAGCGCCGTCGCGACTCCATGATGGAATATCCTCCACAATATCAACAGCCTCATGGCCAACACCCGCATGCCCCCTCCCACATCGCTGCCCCATATCAAGCCGCACCCCAGAACCCAGGCTCAACGGTGGGTTCGATGGCCTCTCCCACCAATCCCCAGGCACATATGCAGCAAGCCCATCCTACGCACCAGGCGTCTCCCATCGTCCCATCGCAGTCTCACTACCAACAGGCGCAGAATGCGCCGGGCTCGGTACACCAGCAGATGAACTTTCCTCAATCGTACGGGGTAACTACAGCGATGCCCCAGACGTACGGCATCTCGCCAACTCAGGCGGCGGCTATGGCTACTG